TTTGTTAGCTTTCCAAAACAGTCTACATAACATCTGATTCGCTCAACTTGAACATACTTCCCTACCGCCTCATACACCATGGTCTTTCATCAGTATGTTGTATTTTCAGTCTAAATTACAGTACAAAGCTTTTTGAGCAGAAACAGTTTTTATTGTATATTTGCTTATAAAGTACCATGACTAGCTAGAAGGCTATATATAGTATGGAAAATGCAGGCTGTACAAGAAAGAATAAAATTTAAATACCATAATTTAACTAACAGAAAGCACCATAAATATAAAATTCAAGAAGTTTAAGTAATTTGGCTCACCATGTTTTACAAAGCTTGTTTTCTGAGTCATATCCAGTATGCGTTGTTAATATGATGAGTATTTTCCTATAAGAGATTCTCAGCTTTTGACAGCTAGTTATTCACTATGCCAAAATACCAATATTCTTGCTGCAGTCAAACCACAGGTAGGATTCCTGGAACATAGTTCCTGTTACTGAAACTGAAGTGTTATACTAAGTAGTCCCATTTTGGTAGCATTTCTTTTCACCATGCTCCTTTAAGTTCACTGGGCTACTTACAGGAGTGCTGGATTCATTTAATTAAAACTGCCAGGAACACCTTGACCCATAAAGATGTTAATTTTTTTACTTCATTCCCATGCCAGTTTTAATGCTAGTTTTTCATTACAACCACGTGAAACAACAACACACAAACCACTACACAATGGTCGTTTTAGTTTCTTAAGAACTAGCCTACGTGCTTGGGCATCCTGTCTTAGTTTCTGGCTTTATCTTTAATTTGTGCCCCAAGTCAGTGGTTTTCAACTTGTGGTCCATGGACTCTGAGGTTCATAGACTATATCTAATGACGCCACAAAAAAGACAGACTGAAAACTAATTTAATAGAATTCAACTATATATACAGGCAGATTTACATTCACCTCCATTCAAATTTCCAAAGCGTCTGCAAATGAAAAAAGGTAAAAAAACACTGCCCTTTAGTGATATTTTTAAAATGTAAACCACGGCAAGGCACTAATTCTCCCAGAACACTTTATTATTGCTATTAAAAGAAATTTAACTATTTAAAAACAGAGCCATTGTTTTAAAAAAAAAATCAAGTATTTTCCCTCCACTCTTGATCAAAAGAATTTGCTGGAGATATGTTGTTCTTCAAATATTTTCTTTTAAAAGTTTGTGTAAACAGGTCAAGAGTGCAAAATTTCAGCCCAGAAGATGGTGTTTTGTATCTTTATCTAGGTACCATCCAGTGTGATGTCTGAGTACTCATGAGCATGTGAAAATAGCATGTTAGGACAAACTGTTTTGAATCCTTGACTATCATAGCACAGCATTCGCAAAGCCCACAACAGCAGAAGTAGCATATGAATTCAAGAACATTCAGTACACTCTATTGTATCCAAAATTGTTACTGAACATGAAAAGCTCAAACGAGGATTTTTAGCTTTAAAATTGAGATACGTTAGTGAACTCATGTGCACCTCATCTGACAATATGTTCTACACTTGAGAACAGATGTTGCCAAGTTACTCGGACTCTCACTCCAGGAGGGCACGATTATTTTCACAGATGCCACTGAAGAGCAGAAGTCTTATATTAAAAGCTCTCTCACTAACATGTTTCTGGAACACATTTCTGCCTGTTGGAAAAGAAAGGGCCGCTATCATCTGCTTTTTCACTCAACTATCATAATGGGATCAGCAGACCATGAGGGAAGGCGAGTGTGGGGAGCAGAGGATATTAGTTGAGAGAGGATATTAATTATGTGCACTAACATATGTGCAATTCAAACACTAATGGTCTGATTTTTTCAGAGCTGCTCACTAGGGATGCGAATGGTTAGCCGGGGACTGCTCCAGCATTGAGGGGCCCGCCATAGGGTGAGGGATGCTCCAGTCAGGCCAGAGCAGCTCCTGTCTGCAGCAGGAGTCATTCCAGTCCCGCTAGGCTGGAGCAGCCCTCACACCTGACCTCCTTTTAATTCGTTAACTAGTTAAACATTACATTTAACCAGTTATATGGGATTTTAACTTCCCTACTGCTCAGTTTTGGGGGGGGGGGGGGGGGGGAGGGAGAAGGGGGTGTCAGGCCCTAGGTAAGTTTTCACTAGTCCCAAAACACATCCTGACTTTTTACCTTCTATCTAAGTGGAGGCTTTACCTACTCAGTGAGCCATCACTTACCTACATACTGTAAAATAGCTTGCCTTACACAACATGGATATTTGGATCACATACATTCCAAGGGGCTTAAGTCTCATTGATCTACTTTAAAAAAAAAAACTGAAGTGGTTCTTATCTCTAACCTCAAATACCAGGGGCCATTGAAGCACTTGGCAGTAGTTTCTTGAAAGAAGACCATCCACAATAGCAGAAGAAACAATACTACACGCAAACCTCAGAAGAGTGAAATTTAGTATAAAACAATTGCTCAATTTCAAGGATATTCCTGAGATTGTGAAAGGATGCAATGTGAATTGTTCGCTATGTACATAGTCAGGCTGTTCTATTTAGTGTGATGTTCTTTGTCTTGAAAGCATATAATGCTGTCTTATCAGTCAGCACTAGACTAAACATTTTATATGCTGCAGGGAACAATCTTGCACTAACTGAGGAATGGAGTAGATAGAGATGGAAAAGACTTCTAATTCCTAAACTGTTGTTATGGTTCTGAACTTTTTAAAAATACCTCGTTGAAACTGGATATACAATTCAATAATTAAAACTTGTTCTTTCGCAGCAACATGGCAACCTCACAGATCAGGTACCTGAGGTAATGGTGCTTCAGCTCGTTCAAGGATTATAAATAGACAATAAAATACTTAACTCCACCGGACAGGTCAAAAGTTATAATGGTATCTTCTTTATCTGGTAAATAAATCAAAACTCTAGGTAAAGCTTATCCTTATTTTCTCAAGGTTTTTGAAAATTCAATGTCCTACAGTAGCAGGTGTCAAGAAAAGTACCTCCCAGTGCAGTTATTTAAGGGACAGTTTAATCACGGTTCATAAGACATTTTACCCAAATCCTACAATCTCTCCTTTTCCATTGGCTTTCCCTCCTTTTCCATTGGCTTTCCCTCCTTGAAATCCACAGCATAATTCAGTCTGCCTTAAAGCAACCAGTTAATACTGCATTTATGCCGCAGGTCAAAAGAAATTATTTCCCCCTGAGCCTTAACAGACTATAGTGATCCATCAATACTATCTGCAGAGAAATTCAGTCATGTTCTCAAGCTCAGTGAGCAGCCAAAAATGACTTCTGAACACTAGTTCCTCAAGTTGGGCTGTCTACCCAGATTAGTGCCAGGTTGTTTGATTTTAAAAACACGAATATCACTTTTTTAAAATACATTTTCTGCAGTGATGAATATTAAATAGCTGACAGCACCAGGAAATACTTTTATCCACAGGATGAATACAAGCAGACTGCAGTGATAATGACCTCATCACTAGAGAGAGCAGCCTCTGAATTGAGAGGGAATGTGGTCCCCAACCCTTCCTCAGGGGTCAGAACAATAGCAAACTGTCAAAAGTTAACAATGGTGCTAGGATAACAGTGGTCCTAATAAATAAGACAACAGTAGGACACTGAATTTTCCCATTTAGAAACAAAAGCTAGATTTGAATGTCAGCCATAGAGTTCACCATTTATAAACTACATGGCTTTTTGGATAACTTTAACCAAAGCATAATTTTCTATTTTAGTTTTAATACCATATTTCTTCTAGCTTCCCAGAATAGCCTTAGCCTATACCAGTACTACCAGAAATTTCAAAAACCTCGAGAAAATAAGAATAAGCTTTACCTAGAGTTTTGATTTATTTACCAGATAAAGAAGATACCATTATAACTTTTGACCTGTCCAGTGGAGTTAAGTATTTTACTGTCTATTTATAATCCTTGAACGAGCTGAGGCACCATTACCTCAGGGACCTGCTCTCGCCTAATACCCTGCAGTGCCAGTAACGTCATATAAAGGTATTTTTGCTGTTAGTTCCTGGGGTGCAATCCTTTCCCTTTGGTGGTTAATGGCAAAACTCCCTCTGACTTTAGTGAGACCAGGTGTCTCTCCCACAAAGGGGTGGACACAGGACTCTCTCATCCAGTTCTTGCTGCCTTTGAAATTTGTTCCTCTTGGCCTAACAGCCAATTTAGTGATTCATTGAGTTTAGTGTTTGTTAGCTATGTTTGCACTTGGTTAGCTTTCATTTTTCTATTAATATTTAGCCTATAAAGGCATGTTAGCAACATGCTGGTAATGGTAGTCTAAGTGCTGTCACTTGCTAAAGGTGACAATGCAGCTTTTTTTTTTTTTTTTAAATACCTGCAACTGCTATGACAACAGTCAGTCAAAGACACAAAACTAACAGCATCTGAAAAAGTATTTACCACTTTTACGGATGATTCTGTATGAGAATTAACCACTTTAACAGCATTATGATGAATTACCAAGTGCAAGCCAGTTTTTACCAGAAGTTATGAATATGTATCTTTTAATTTCAGTTTGAGGAGAAACATCACAGCCTAATTATTATTGTGCAGTTTTTATATAATTAAAAGATTTACCTCGCGCTGCTCAGGTCCTTGATTAAAATAGTTTTTGGATAATGAAGTAAAAGTGTTTATAGCTTTAAATGTACTAATGAGAGCTATTACTGGTGCCCCCTCGCAAAGCCTTAACAACCCAGTGATCAACTTAACTTGTATATAGCCTTGTTTATGCTTAAAGTTCAGAAGGTGGTTGGTCCTAGGAAAACATGTGACCA